CCCCGCGCACTTGCCTGCCCGCCCGGCCCTCGGGCTCTGTCCCCGGCCTCCGCTGGGTCCCCGGCCGGCCGTCGTCCCCCACCCCCTCGCCCGCCGTCCGTCCGTCCGTCCGTCCGCCCTCCCGTCCGGGGGGCTCCGGGAGGCGCGATGAGCGGCGCCTGCTCCAGCTACGTGAGCGCCGAGCAGGAGGTGGTGCGCGGCTTCAGCTGCCCGCGGCCGGGGGGCGAGGCGGCCGCCGTGTTCTGCTGCGGCTTCCGCGACCACAAGTACTGCTGCGACGACCCGCACAGCTTCTTCCCCTACGAGCACAGCTACATGTGGTGGCTCAGGTACGGGCCCTGGCCCAGACCTCACCTTGGACCCCTTTCTCAGCTAGCCACCCCCCCGCCCCAGCCCGCCCACAGGCCAGCCTTTTGTAAGCCTCTGCTTTCATCTCGGTGCCCATCCCTCACACCTCCCTTACTCCTCATTGCCAATATGACCCCGCTGTCACCTTTATCACTGCCCTCGCGTCCCCTGCCGACTCTTACTCCATCCTGACCCCAGCCTCTCTTTGGAAACCTGACTGACTCTGACTGGCACTACCGCAAAGCACTCACTCTCTCCCTAGTCTGAACTTCGTCTTACCATCACCCACAACACAGTCAACAATCACAAGCCAGCCCACACCCTGACAGCAAATACTATCTCCAGATATACAGAGGCAACCCAAACCCTGCCCTTGGGCCTCACACAGACCCCCATCCATCCAGGCGCTGTTCCAGGTGCCAGCCCCATCCCCAGCTTAATGAACTTATCGGTCCTGATTCTGTCACCTGTCCCGGGCCCCCTCCTGGAGCCTGCCAGTCAGCCGCCTCCAGCGGTTTAGCCACATCTTGACTTTAACAGGCTCTAGGCCTGCCTCCAAATCATAGCCTCGAAAACCTTCATCCTCACCTGATGCGGCAACCCCACCCCACGTAGCCCTTTCCTTCCCTCTCACTCTTCTGCGGGGTGTGAATGTGAGTCCTGGGGATGCCCTCTACGCTGGCACTAACTGGAAAACCCTGGAGGTCAGGGCTTCCTGCGAGTGCAGCGTGACACAGTGGCACAGCTGCACAGCCCAGGCCAGCTCCGGCCATTTTAGTAAAGTGTGGTCTGGGTGTGAACACTTCCCTTCCCCGGCTGTTCAGGGGTGGGGTTGCTTGGGCCAATTCTGACGATCTTGAAACCTGAGTGTGAAGTTGGAGAGCAGAGGGTCTTCATTCCTCTGAGTCCCTCAAAGGCTTCAACCAAAAAAGTAGAGCCTGATTCTCAGCCTGCTCTGGGCAAGCGGTGTCAGCAGGAGCGGAGTGGTCCATGGGGAGTTTTTGTCCCTGAGAGCGAGAGCAGACTGTGCTTTCCGAGTGCCAACGTTCACCAGCAGCTGCTGATGTGTCCCTGAGTCTTTCTGTCTCTCTATCTGCCAAAGGGGGAGATGACCAGTCACTGTCTCGATTTCTGATTAAGGCGGAGGCAAGGATGAAAGAGAGAGCGATGAAAACAACTTGACATATGCCAATTACATCTACAAAGATCGCTTTTTCTAAGGTGTCCAATCTGTAACTCTAACGCATTTTCAGATGGCCAGCATATCATATCTAGCACATTTGACTGCCGTCTGAAAAGCCAAGGAATCATACTAATTTACTTTCTGTTCTCACGTATTCAACCACTCACTCTAACCTTGGCTACAGGGTCTTTGTGCACGGCACGGAGAACGAAAAAAATCAATTATTGCCTGCAAGAGGATGGGCCATACGGCTTCTTGTGAGAATGAAACCCGGGGCCCTGGTCCTGTCACAGTCAAGGGCTCTAACACCGAGGGGATCCGCAACCCTCCCATTCTATTTAGAGTAGCGCGGTTCTCAACCCTTCTAAGGCCTCGACTCATCCCTCCAGTCTCTCGTGTTGTGGGAGACCAACCATAAAATCATTTCTCGGCTACTTCAGAACTGTGCTTTTGCTACTGGCATGAATCGTAATACAAACATCCGTGTTTTCTGATGTGAAAGAGTCATTCGACCCCCAGAAGGGTGGTGACCCAGAGGTTGAGAAGCGCTGATGTAGAGACAGAACCTGCGCCTGAGTAAAACAGCACAGTGCCCGAGAGCTGAAGGAAGACGGCAGCCTGTGCTCAGAGCCTGGAGCAAAGCTTGGCTCTATCACACCAACTTGCGAATTGGAAATGTTGTTAAATCTCGTGGACCCTTTTCTCTTAACTTTAAAATGACAGTTGGAGCCAAGCATGACGGTTCACTCTTGTCACTGCAGCATTTGAGGGTCTTGAGGCAGAAAGACAGACTATGACTTTGAGAGAGCCAAGGATACGCAGTGAGTTCGGGGCCAGCCTTGAGTCCACAGCGAGATCCTCTCTCAAAATAATTAAGTAAAATGTAAAGGGCGGTATTAATGCTTGCCTCGTAGCTGACAGTGTGAGGAGGGAGTGAAGCCAGATGCAGAGAGTATGACAGGGATGGGCTACCCGCTTCCACACAAACCCAGCCCTAAGACATGGCTCCGTTTTGTGGACGGCGAGACTTGAGAGGGGTTGTCATGGGGGGGTACCCCAGGGTGAAGCAGCAGAGCTGGGATGGAAATTTAGGCTTACGTGGCCCCAAACCCGAACTTAGCCTGGCCAACAACTGTCTGAACCTTTCTGGCTTCTTGTAGCTGATGTACTCAGCTCTGTCTCCAAAACCTTTGCTGCCTCTGACTACTTTGCTGGCCCCTTACAATCGATGCAAGGATGGGCAAGCCAGGGGGTCCTCCCCTGCTGGCAGGCCTTTCTCCTTCCATCTCTCCCTTATCTGCTCACTCTTAGTACCCCTCCAGTTACCTTGGAAACCCTCTCACTGTGGTGCTCTTTAGTGTCTTAGTTGGGTTTCAGGGAGGGTCGGCTAGGGAGCTCTCTAAGATCAGAGCCTGTGTCAGTGTGGCCCCAAATGCAGCGGAAAGGTTCCAGCGTGTGGCGGGACTTCCTGGGTTCTTTTGTGGGGGTGTGGTTGGGTGTGGGGGTTTTACATGCGTGTGTGCCCGTGCAGACGGGGGTGACAGATCTGATACAGGAGTTACTGGATGGTGAGCTGTCCTGTGAGTGCTGTCGGGGATCGCTGGTCCTCTGGATGAGCAGCCATTGCTTTTAGCTGCTGAGCCCCCTTCCTGGGTCCCAACACAGTGTGCTTCAGAAGCATCAAGACAGTCGCAAAGCACAGAGCTGAGAGTCCTCAGGACAGCGGGATGGTTAGTGTGCTCTGAACTCCGGAACAATTCCTTGCACGCTTCCCTCCGAGCCCCCCTCACTTCAGTATGGAGACCTTGTTTTCCCCAAATTCCATTTGGCCCTTTTCATGAAATCTCATTCTTGCAAGCATAGACGTCTCCAGGAAGGCACTATACCCTTAGAGACAGAGTGAGGGAAAAGGCCATCTTCAAAAGCCAACCATCTCAGAAAAAGAAGGCACCGGCGGAGAAACGGCCGTTGTAAGCCCACCATCTGGCCCCGGTTGCTGAAACCTCCTTCTCCCTCCATTCTCTCTGCCAGAATGTGAGCCAGAGGGCAGTAGCCTCCCGGAAGCACAGAGCTGATGGTCAGGTGTGGCACACACCATCTCACCACACCCTTTTGGGCCACCTGGTGAGATAGGAGCCGGCACAAATGAGGACCGGAAAAGCAAAGTGATATTTCCCTGTATGGATCAAAGAATCAGGTTTCAGACTATGAAAAGTGCCTGATCTCAAAGCTGACTGGCGCCCCTTCACTGCTTTCTCAGGGGTCACGCGAGTCTTTGTCTTTCAGAGTCCGTGCGGCAAAACCTCCTAAGAGCAGAGACCTCTGGTTCGCTTTCTGGCAGAGCAGGACTCTGACTTCATGCAGAAGCAGCTGTCTGTCCTGTGCTAAACTCTTCTCAGGAGGAACTCACCCCTCGGGAGCCAGGCCCTCCCCCGCCAGACAACGCTGATCATTTTAAGTCCGTCTGGTTCTGAAATCAGGCCTTTCCTGTCATCTCCTCTGTAGTGCCCTACCACGTGGATCCTGCGTGTTGAACTTGAGTCACGCTTGCAAGTGTAGCAAGCACTTCACCAAGTGGACCATCTCCCCAGCCCCGGATACCCGTTCAAAGTATGGACAAGAACTAAAAAAACATTACGTACCCGATGTGGAAAAGGACAGAAGAAATGGGGAGGGGGTAGGTGGAGCTAGAGAGTGTTAGTGTGTAAGGAGAAGAGCTGATGGCGAACAGCTTTTGTTTTTTGGTTGGTTTTTGAGACAGGGTCTCTCCGTTTAGCCCTGGCTGCTATACAACTCACTCTGTAGATCACGATGGCCTTAAAATCACAGAGATCCACCTGTCTCTGACTCCAGAGCGCTAGGACGAAAGGCTTATGCCATTACCCCCAGCTAAGTAGTTTTTATGGAGAGTGATCCCAGAAAACACTGGTAGGGTGGGGAAACGAGACAGAGGGAACACCAAGAACGGGTTATGTTACCAAGCAAGCCACACTCAGGCCACCAGCGCTAGGCCTCTGCTGGTCAGCGTACACTGGACACCTCAGAGTTATTCCGCCGGAGCTGGGTACGCATTCCACTGTGGTGGTCAGCTGTCTTGGAGAGGTAGCATCGGTTATCCTGCTTCTGACCCCATCAATGAGCAGACAGAGCTTTGTTCCGGGTCTCAGAAAGTCCCCAGCCGGAGAGGTACAGACACTGGCAAATGAAACCCTGCACTGAATACTGCACAATGGTGGGACCCCAGGAGTCGCGGCCCAGACATTCATAGCCTGCATCACACCTAGAGGCAGCTTGATAATAGTTTGGTATATTTTCCTCCAACCTTATGTTTGCATAGATTTAGTTAGTTAAGTCTGGGCTGAGCTTTGTGTCTAGTTTTGTCCTGCTATTTTCACTTTACATTATCTTGTAAGACTGTATTTACAAATATATGTATATATGTATGTATGTGCTATCGTGTGTGCATGTAATTGGTGGGAGGGGTTACACGCGCGTGCTCATTCGTAGAAACCAGAAGATGGCCGTCACTGATATTCCTCAGACCCCAGCTGGTAGCTACCGCTCATGTGTCTGTACCATCCTGCCCCCAGGCCCAGCACTCAGCCCCCATGGTCTTCTCTCCCCAGCATCGGAGCTCTTGTGGGCCTCTCCACGGCCGCAGTGGTCCTTCTGGCCTTCATTGTCACTGTCTGCGTGCTCTGCTACCTGTTCATCAGCTCCAAGCCCCACACGAAGCTGGACCCAGGCTTAAGCTTACGGTCGACAGGTAAGAATGTGTCCACGTGATGCCCTTGTAATGGGCAGGCTCAGACCTTTCTTGGCAGAGGAGAGATAATTAGAAATGAGGTCTGGCGTGCCAGGCATGGAAAAGCGCACTTTTAATCCCATCTGTCAGGAGGCAGAAGTAGGCAGATCTAGGTCAGACTGAGCCAACCTGGTCTACATAGGAAGACCTTGTCTCAAAGGAGGAAGAAAGACAGAAAGACAGACAGACAAGAAAATGGGAGAAATGAGACTCGGAACATTCGCCCTCCGGGTGTTCCAGAACAATCACGCTTCTCAGGAGGTCTGTGAGCTGAGCATTTCGGTCCCGACTCTTTATGTGCCTGTCCCTCATCAGACTCTAACGTCATCAACACCCTGCTCTCACATCAGCACCCCGCTCTCACACAGGCTTTACCCGGGGATGGATTTTCTATGACAGTGTTTTCTTTCTAGCCTTAGGGAATGCAAACTGATGCTCATAGTCTCCCAAACAAAGCAGAGCTAGTAAGACAGACTTGCTGTTTCTCACAAAAAATAAAGAAATAAACAAATAAATAAAAAATTAACGTTTGATCAGAAACGGAATACAGGATTCTATTTTTCATAATCTGTTGCACTCATCCCTTCATTAGCGTGGGCAATTTAGAACCCCAAAGGGGACAAAATGTAAGCGTTGCCTTCTCCTGAGGCCATACTGCACGCTTCGTGACTTCTGATAAGGAACTGTGGAAGATCCAAGCCCACGATGGGCAGAGAGTTCTCAGTACAGTTGAGGGAACAGCAGCCAAGGTGGGTGTTGTTTCCACTTCACAGGTGAGGAGTCAAAGTGGAGGCAGGGCTGGGAACTTGCTCAAGGAGTCACAGTGACAAAAGAAATGAGGTCCAGCCCGTCCATGCCTTCCCTCCCAGAGCCACACTCTTCTGCCCCTAACCATGGGCTGTGCCCATGTCTAAGTACAGGGACCAGGGCCAGGAAGAAAGGGAATGTCCTTAAACAGCAGGGGCAAGGGTGGCAAGCATCAGGCAGGAAGAAGGGCAGGTGGGTGATAAACTCAGTCTCAGGGGAGACCGAGAGCTCTGAATGTTGTTGTCTGTAAGCGATTGATTCTCTAACTTAAAAAGGCAACAAGCAATAGTCCTAGACCCTTCCAGTACCCTGAAGACTGTTGAGAGTGGAAAGGTTTACCTGCTGCCTGTGGAGTCAGGAATAGGAGAAAACCCAAGCAGAAAAACAAGTTGACAAATTTGCCAAATCAAATACAAATGATATAAGACATCGTGTGTGCATGTGTGTGTGTGTGTGTGTGTGTGTGTGTATGTGTGTGTGTGTGTGTGTGTGTAAGCATCTATTCTCATAGTCAAGCCTATTCTCAGGCTGTATATTTTTAACTTGCCTACTTGCTAAGATGTATTTGTAACCTCGAAATCAACACCAGAAGTACTTATGAGGTTATTACAGATGTGGGTATGTGCTGAGTGACAAAAATTTGAGGTGCACATGACCCCAGATAATCTCAACCTAGGCTAGACTCTGTAGGCATGTGCTGTCTCTATGTCTGTCTGTCTGGAGCCACTTTGCTCCATGTTTGTGGTGTTCACGGATGATCTCCCGGTTGGCACTCCCCTGGAGACGGTTCTGAAGGGCTGTGGAGTGCCCTGAGCACAAGAAGACTGTGCTGTGCTTCACGGAGAACACAGAGTGCTGAAGGACTAGACACGCGTTCCGGGACATTGGATGGGAGTTCAGTGTTAAATCAAAAATGTATATTAAATCATGGAGAGATGGCTCGGCAGTTAAGAGCACCGGCCGCTCTTCCAGAGGACCTGGGTTAGATTTCCCAGCACCCACATGGCAGCTCACAACCATCTGTAACTTTGTTCCAGGGGATTTGATAACCTTTTCTGATCTCCCTGGCATGCACATGGTACATAGACTTACATGCAGGCAAAACACCCATCCACACAGAAATAAATATTTTAAAAGAAATATATATTAAATCAGGTTCCTTTAATCAACAACACATAAAAACCAAAGTTAAACTGATTGTCTGACAAAAACATAATGGCCAAAGGCACCAGAAACTGCATCTTACATTCTCCCTAGAAGACAGAGCCTCATATTGCCTGGGCTAGCCTGGAACTCACTGCATAGCCAAGGGTGATCTTGAGCTCTGGATCCTCCTTCCTCCAACCCCAAGAGGCCCCCAAGCCTGGCTTAGCAGCAGTGTTTTAGTATTTGCTGACTCAGCGTTTGCGGCAACATTCTAGAACTCAACGACCGCGCATAGGCAGGACTCCTTGCACGTAAAATAGCACAGGGCTGATATCCAGACCTTGGGACACATCTTCACGGCAATGAGAAAGTGCAGCAGTAGCATGAAAGCCCAGCACAAGCTTGGCGTGGTGGCACGTGCCTGTAGTACCAGGCCTCGGGCGGCAGAAAGAGGAGAATCAGCTCACTGCCGCCCTCGGTTACCCGTCAAGCTTGAGGCCAGCCTGGTATCAGGAGACCATCTCAGAAAAATGGGCACAACAGCAGCAAACTTCACCGTGCATGTGGAAAGATGATCAGCCTCATAATCAGGAGAACGCGGTTTAAGAACAACAGACCTTTGGGATTGGTGAGGTGGCTCGGCAGGTAGCGAGCAAGCCTGACAGCTGGTTTAAAGCCTGGGACCCATGGAAAGGTAGAGAGGGCCGACTCCATAGGGTTGACTGTACACACACACCATGGCTCACGCACATATGTAACAACGATAATTTTAAAGAAAAGCATGATATACCTTAAACACGCACGCACACACTGGGGATGGAGAGGTAAGCAGTTCCGGAGGACCCAGGTTCAATCCCCAGCACCCACATCACGCCTCACAGCCTCCTTTAACCCTAGTTCCAGGGCATCGGGCACCCTCTGAGGGTGTGACACACACCGTACACTGCCCATATACAGAATGGGTCAAGTTAACAGTGAGAAAGTTGACGGGAAATGGATAATATCACACACTGGTGGCAGGAATATAAATTGGCTCAGCGGCTCTGTAGAGCCATTTGGCAATACCTCCTTACGCTGAAATGTACACTCCTTACTCCTTACACTGTATGTCCGAAACTCAGCAGTTCTGCCGGCCCATCCTTGAGAAGTAATTCCTTTAGGAGAATCCATCACTAGCCGTCAGGACAGCCTGTCACAGAGGAAACCAACTTAAAGTTCATCAGCTCAAGGTAAGAGAGCAGGGGCAGTTAGGACCACTTCCATTGGGACAGACAAGGAAACTGAGGTTCAATGTCACCTCCCAGCGTGAGCCACTGATGAGCTCACTGTTGCTGAGAAAGCAGAGCCCCTCTTACGTGCCAGATCAACCTTTGAAACTGCACACATTCCATCCCATCGACCCTTCCCTGCTGCCCCCGTGAGGCTAGCGTCCGTCGAGTTCAGCTGGGCCAGCCAGGTCTCAGAGATCCTGGGGGCATGCCCAGGGGGGTCACGGCTGGTAAATTATGCTCGAAGGATTCCGACGTGTCCCTGGAGACGGAGACCACCTTCCTGCGCAGCCACCACAACATCCAAACCCTGTAGTCGCCAAGGTCTGAGACAGCACACGATCTTGCTTTTTTTAAAGACGGAAAGGGCACCCTCTGACCTTTTACTACTCGATCTCTTTCACCTCTCTGCGTGTCACGCAAATGTAGCTCGAGTTTATCAGTGTTGACTGTGCTGTCCCTCCCTTCCCTCTGCACCCACAGTGTCAGGCTGGAAGCATCTGAGATGGCCTACAGGCCCACTGCTGTGTACTTGCCAGGTCCCCACGCCCCCTTTATAGACTCCTGCTTCCATTTGCTCTGCTGTCTGGCTCTTCAGCAAGACAGGAAAGACCATGGCTCACATTTTACAGGAGAAAAAGACCAAGACTCAGCAGGGGACGTGACCAAGTCCCCACAGAGAGTGAGCTTGTTTGTGTTTGGGATGCCAACCTGATCTCCCAGGCTTTGGGGTGTAATCACTGCACTGTTCCTGTGTGTGTGTGTGTGTGTGTGTGTGTGTGTGTGTGTGTGTGTCTTTATCTCTCTGAATGATGGGGTAAGAGTAGTGTGACAGCTGCCTTGGCAATTGGCCATGAAAAAAGCCACTTCCCATGTTTCCTTCCCATGTCCAGGATTCTGTCCCTCCCCCCATCCCGTCCCATCCCCTAAGCACGCAATAGAGATAGAATCTTCTCCTCTTTCCCTCCCTTCCTTCTTCCCATTCCCCCCTGGGCTGGAGATCTAATGCAAGGCCTCACCCCGAAAAGCACACACCGTCCCTCAGAGACACACTTCCGTGTAGCCCCAGTAACTTCCTTAGGGGTGTTCTCCATGAGAAACCGAATGGATCAGAAGGCTGACTGAGGCTGACTGAGGGTGACTGAGGTTCTGCCCTGCACCAGGGGCTTCAAACACATCACCCTTATTTTCTCTGGCAGCTGGCTGTGTTAGGGGTGCTTTGAGACCAGACAAGTGAAGCAGGGACAGAGATGTTTCAACCATGCCTGATTAATGAGACCAGAAAAATCCAAGTCAAACAAGCATCTTGCTTTCATTTTCCTCTGGAGGGAGGCCACCTTTGCCTTTCTCTACCACAGCTGCCCCACATTTCCACGACTGGCCTCCACCCCCGCCTTTGGGAGGGCTCAGTCACCCCAGCCCCCTCTGCTCCTTCATTAAGTACACTTGGAGTGGCACCTGTGAATCACAGTCTCGTCACAGGGGTCAGTGATGAGTTGGGCTTGACTCATCTCCCAGGAGGAAGGAACCTGCTCTAGGCTGGTTGCACAGGCTCAGGTTCAGACTGAGGGCTCCAGGGAACGGGGCCCGAGGACAAAGGTCTTTAGAGAAAGTTGGACAGGTGCCCTGGATCTAATATTGGTTTTTCTCTTCTCGTGGCATGGTTCCTCTGGTTTTATTTCTTTTTATTGCTTATTTATTTGTTTTTTTTTTTTAAGTTATCTTTTAGCTGGGCGGTGGTGCACGCCGTTAGTCCCAGCACCGGGAGGTAGAGGCAGGCAGATCTCTGTGAATTCGAGGCCAGCCTTGTCTACAGAGCAAGTTCCAAGACAGCCAGGGCTGCACAGAGAAACTCTGTCTCGAAAGACCAAAAACCAAAACCAAAACCAAAAACAATTTTGTTATGTTTATAGGGGCCTGTCTGTGTGTGGTTTGTGTGTGTGTGCATGCAGCACCTGTGGTGGCCAGAAGGGGGCGTGGGATGCCCCTGGAGCCCTTGTCAGGTGCCCAGTGTGGGTGCTGAGAACCTAACGCTGTCCACTAGAGCGGGAGCAAGCGGATAGCCCCTTGTTTCTGTGTTTCTGACCGTTTATAGAGATCTTGTGTTATCACTTCTAACACCTGTTAAAGCATGAACTCACAGGGAGCAGCCCCAGCAGCTCAGCCCTCACTTCCGTCCACTCCCAGAGACGCGGAGTGGGCTGGGTCTTCCTGTGGACCCAGGCACCTTACCCTTGGGCTTCCTTCTCCCGCTCATTCCCCTTCACCACTCCCCGTGACGCTCCAATCAGCACAGCATGCTGGGAAATACTGTAACTCCCCCAGGCTGGCCCTGGTCACACCTGTTGAACAGTACCTTGATGCCACAACATGGCCTCGCTTGCAGATTCACATACTTCCGATGCTTCTCCTTTTCCCCTTTGTGTTTGTCGCTTCAGCAGATCCCTGGAGGACGGCGGCTCCAGCCCGAGTCTCACGGTTTGCTACTAAGCAAATCTACACTCCCGAACCTAGTCTAATCCATAAAGCAGCTTCTGAAAAAATCAGAAATGATGTTTACAGGGAGCCTACTGAGTCTGAAATACGTGTCGTTATCAATGAGGCGCGCGCACACACCCTTTTATCCTGCTGGGGATTGAACCCACAGCCCTACATGTGCTAAACTTGGGCTGTACCTCTGAAATTCACCCTCAGCCCTAAGTAGCTCTCAGTTTAATTAATTATTAAAATTTTACGTGTGTGTGAAATACATTTCGTGTAGTAGCACATACGCACAAGTGCCGGCCGCATGCTTCTGTGGAGGATGGAGGATGGAGGACATCAGCATTCTACTCTATCGCTGTCTGCCTGTTCCCTCGTCTCTCGCTCAACCTGGAGCTTGCTGCCTTTTTTTAGCTAGGCTGGCTGACCAGCAAGTAACAGCAATCCTCTGGTCTCCACCTCTATCAACTGCATCCAATGCAGATATAGATGATGGCCACGCCCAGCTTTCTCTTTCTTTCTTTCTTTCCTTCTTTCTTTCCTTCTTTCTTTCTTTCTTTCTTTCTTTCTTTCTTTCTTTCTTTCTTTCTTTCTCTCTCTCTCTCTAACTCTCTCTCTTTCTTTCTCCTTCCTTCCTTCCTTCCTTCCTTCCTTCCTTCCTTCCTTCCTTCCTTCCTTCCTTTCTTTCTTTCTTTCTTTCTTTCTTTCTTTCTTTCTTTCTTTCTTTCTTTCTTTCTTTCTCACATGCATTCTGGGGACCCAAACTCAGTTCTGCTTCTCGAACAGCAAGCTCTCTTATCCACAGAATCCTCTCCCAGCCCCATTACTTTTCTTTTTAAAAAGTGGTTTTGAGGAGCTGGAACAATGAATCCGCAGTTAAGAGCACCGGTTCCAGACCAACCAAGAAATAAACAAATAAAGCCTGAGTGTGAGTGCTATACTTTTAAACCAAAAGATGGCCCAGAAATGTAAAGAAACGGTCCCATTTAAGAACTGGAGAGAATTCTGGTGTGAGAAAGCAGAGCTCTTGAGGGGAGAGAGGCAGTAAGGAAGCTGAGGAGAGGGCAGGCCCGTCTGAGCAAAGCCTGCACTACCACCCCCAGGGCCGAGGATCGAGGTACACACTAGGAGCTTTCGAGGAAGAGCAGCTCATGGATGGACTCGCTTGACCTCTGCCTGCTCTGGGCACAGAGCAGAGGGAGCCCAGCTGGAGGCAGTTGCTGTAGTCTGGGCAGAAATGAAAGCTTGACCAAGGCTGCGGCCTTGGGGATGAAGAGAAGTGGGTGGGTGTAGCAGAAGCCGACCTGGTGGGCAGCCACAGGAACTGTGAAGGGCTCAGAAGACAGGCTGTAAGAGCCATGGCATTCTGGCTGTATTTTCTTATCCAAAAAGTAAGGATGCTCATTTGTTCCTTACCTATGCCAAGGAACATAAGGATTTGAATTTCTTATTTTTGTCTGGTTCTTGAGACAGGGTTTCTCTGTGTAGCCCTGTCTGTCCTGGAACTCACTTTGTAGACCAGGCTGGCCTAAGAACTCAGAGATCTGCCTGCCTCTGCCTCCTGCAGGATTAAAGGTGTGCACCACCACTGTCCTGATGAACACAGGATTTAAAAGAGACCATGGGATGTAATGACAGGAAAGAGAAAAGTCACAATGGGGGTGGGGGGGTCAAAGGCCAAGTGAATTTTCTTCCTAGCTCCCTTAGAAGAGGAAGGAAGAAGGGGAGTCAACGAAGAGAAGATAAGAAGCTTTGGCTGGTTTGGTTTTTTTGAATTAAGATTGAACTCTGGCCAGGCGTGGTGGCACACACCTGTGATCCCAGCACTCAGGGAAGTAGAAGCAGGTGGACCACTGTGAATTCAAGGCCAGCCTGGTCTACAAAGCAAGTCCAGGACAGCCAAGTCTCCACAGAGAAACCCTGTCTCGGGAGAATTTAAAAAAAAAAAAATAATAATAATAAAAAGAAAGAAAAGATCGCACTGTGTAGCTCAGGCTAGCCTCACATTTTTGGGGGATACTCTAGCTTCTGCTCCCAGGTGCTAGAATCCCGGGGGGGGGTGTTCACACACAGCTACAATCTCTTCTCTTCTAGCTTAATTTTCTGTGTGTAAGTGTTTTGCCTGCATGTTTATCCGTTCACTCATGCATGTCTGGTGCCACAGAGGTTAGGAGGCATTGGATGCTCTGGAACTGGAGCTACAAACAGTTGTGAGCCACCATATGGGTGCTGGGGGTCAAATCCAGCTCTTCTGCAAGAGCACCAAGTGCTCTTAACTGCTGAGCCACCTCTCCAGCTCTGAGCCTCTGTTCCTAAAGCAGAGAACAACCGATGTTTTACCAATAGCCAGGGCTCCTCCGCATGCTGGCTGTGTAACAAGCCTGTGTCCTCATCTAGAAAATAGACTTGTAATTTTTTTAATGGCTTTTTAACCTTCCTAGGGCTATCGTGAAAGTCAGCTCTTTCTCTTCCAGCAATGGCCTCGTCTGCTCAAGAGAAGCATGGGCAGTTCCTACTGTGCGGGAGGTACATTGTTAATGGTTATTTGTTGTAGATAGTCCATGAGGTCCTCAGGTAATCGACAGGGAAGTTGGCCAGGGTGCGATGCTGGTGGTGGAGAAGGGGCTGCAGGAGGAAGCCACCTCGAACTCCTGTTTTTCAGGCTCCAAGGAGATGTCACCTGGCCACCAACGTTTGAACACAGCAATCACGATGGAGGTGCCAGGGATAAGCCCTCCCAGACAAAGTTACTCCTTGAACCCACGTCCGGAAAGCCACAAGAGGCAGACCATGGGCCCCCGACGTTTCTTCCAGCACCGCTTCATGGCCACAGTGACCGTGAGCAACATTCCAGGCAGCCCCGAGGAGACCTCTGTCCCCACCCCTGACTCATCTGGACTAGTTCCATAAAATCCAATAAATGTCTCTACACCATCCTTCTGTGAGTCTTTTTATTTGTTTGTTTGTTTTTGTGAAAAAGTGCTGGGTGGCCAAAGAGACTTTGGAGCCAGTGGGCTAAATGAGGACTTTCCCCCAAAAAAGCACCAAGGTCTTGTTATGGACCCAGCTGTCTTTCTTGGCCTGACCAACTTAGGACCATCAGAAATTGGATGAGTCACCTAACGAGGAGAGAGGATTAGTAGCAGCATCACACAATCCAGAAACCTAGTCTGTGGGGCTCAGGGAGCCTGTCTCCTGAGGAGTTCCGACTTGTTTTGATGTGGTTTTCCTGCCCCAGAGTATTTAAGCCAGGCTTGGTGCTGCACACTTTTAGTCTCAGAACTCAGGAGGCAGAGGCAGGCAGACCTATGTGAGTTCAAGGCCAGTCTCGGCTACAAATCAAAGTTCCAGGACACCAGGGCTACACAGAGAAACCATGTCTTGAAAAAAAAAAAAAAGCAAAACAACAGCAAAAACAAAAAACAGAACAGAACAACAATAACAACAAAAGAATGAATGACAGCTGGTGAAATGGCCCAGCAAGTAAAGGGGCTTGGAGCCAAGCAGGATGAGTGATAAAAGGAGAGAATAGACTCCTCTAAATTGCCCTCTGACCTCCACACTTGCACACACACATACTATATACATTATATGTAGCATATATTCTGTGTTGTATAATATATATATATATATATATATATATATATATATATATATTAGGTAAATGAATGAGAAAAAGAATGATTGTCATACCACATACAGTCCCCACTGTTGTGGCTGTAAGCGTGTTTTTGTTTTGGTCCTAGGTGTGGATGTGAGACTAATTCAGATGGTCCATAGCAGCAGACCATTTGCTTCATGCGGGCTCTGAGAGGAGCTCTTTGCCAGCTACAGAGAGTTTAAATCTGAGGACTCTGGAGAGAGAATAAATGCCAGAGCGTAGAGGAGAGTAAGAACAGGCTGCTGCTGCCTGCCCCTTGCTGCTCCTGGTTGCTGTCGTGAGACAAGAAGATGGTGATCTCCTGAGACAAGGATTGGACTGGCTCCAAGGAACCCGACGACCCTAGCCAGGAGGAAGCAGCTAAGAGAACTGCTAACCCTTTCTCTCTCCTACCTGGTATTGGAGTGTTGGAAGGGATTGGGGTGGAGTCGGGAGAAAAAATATAAGAGACATAAATGAAAGAGTGTTTTTAAAGGCATGCCAACACCCCACAGGGTGGACTGAGCCACTCAGCCCAAGAGGCCCTGATGGCCACATTCCCCTCTGCCCCTGCTTTCTTGCTAGTTATTGTGTTTAATAAAGTGACCCAATTAAGCTGAGCCAGGTGGTGCACACCCATCATCCAAGACACTTGGGATGCTCAGGCTGCGTGGGTGGGTGGGGGAGGTCACAGGTTCGAAGCCAGATCAGACAACTTCATGAGACCCTGTCTCATGAAACAAGAGGAAAAAAAAATGTTCAGTGGGAGCACGGAAAGTTGCTAAAGCACTCGCTGTGCAAGAGTGAGGAGCTAAATCAACCCCAGAACCCACTCAAAAAGTCAGGTGGCGCTGCCTGTAATCCAGTGCCGGGAAGCACAGACAGGTGTCCAGGGGCTTGCTGGCCAGCCTCTCCTGCTGAGGTCCAGGTCCAGGCCAAGAGAGAGAGTCTCTCAAGCAAGGGGCTGCAGTGATGCACAAGGTTAGCGGTTCTGGCTGTTCTTCCGGAAAACCCAAGTTTGATTCGCTTCCTAACACCTGCCTGGGGTGGCATACAGCTCCTGTAACTCCAGCTTCAGGGAAGTCCACGCACTCTTCCGGCTTCCAAGGGCTCTGCAGGAACACAGCATTAAAACAACAACGGCAAGAAAAACACATTGCAGTTATTAATGTCTTAAAAAAAAAAAACAAAAACCAAGAATGACACCTGAGGGCTGCATCAGAACTTGCAATGTGCAGCAGGCTGGCCTTGAACTCACAGAGATCCACCTGTTTCTGTGCTGGGATTAAATGTATGGGGACCCTACCAGGTCCAGGACTTTAATACTCCAGACGAGGAAGCTGGAGAAAAGGCTCAGGAGGTCATGTGCTGCTCTTGCAAAGGGACTGTGCTTGTTTCCCAGCACGAACACCAAGAAGCTCACAATTGTCTGCAGCTCCAGCTCCTTAGATACAACACCCTCTTCTGGCCTCCTTTGGCACTGCACTTATGTGCACAAACCCACACACAGACACACACACACACACACACACACACACACACACACACACACACGTATAACTACCATTTAAAAGAGAGGCAGGCAGATGTATGGGAATTCAAGGTCAGCTTGATTTACATAGCAAGGGCTACATAGTGAGACCCTGTCTTAAACAAACAAATAGGGGCTGGAGAGAAGGTTCAGTGGTTAAGAGCACTTGCTGCTCTTCAAAGGACCTGGGTTCAAGTCTTAGCACCCAAATGACGGGTCAGAAGCACTGTAACTCCAGGTCCACAGGACCTGATGCCCTCTTCTGATCTCTGCAGACATCAAGCACACATGTGGCACACACATAACATGCAGGCAAAGTATTCACACACAAAACGAAATGAATAAATCTAATGGCTTCCACCAGCAGTTGGGAGGCAGGGGCAGGCAGATTACTGTGAGTTCGAGGACAGCCTGATGTACATAGTGAGTTCCAGGACAGCCGGAGCTATGTAAAGACTCTATTCCAAAACCAAAAAAAAAAAACAAAACAAAACAACCATAACAAAATAGACCTAAAGAAATGTCTCAACAGTTAGGAGTACTTCCTGCTTTTTCAGAAGTCCTGAGTTTTATTCCCAGTACTCACACCCAGCCTGTAACACCAGAGGATCTGACAACACCCTCTTCTGGCCTCCTCAGGTGCCTGCACGTACATACACATAAATACAAATAAACCTTTAAGAGAGATTCGCATGTGTAAGACAAATTCCAATAGGATATGCTTTAATGTAACATGGCCATTTTCTAGGCAGTGATGATGAAGCCCAATGTCTGGTTATAGTCCTGACTCTGCTGCTTGCTAGGTTGTCAGGGCCCGTGTGAGAGGAACAGCAAATGGCTTTAGAACTCATGGTGTGGGGCCCACCGGTTAGACAACCACAATGAGTGTGTCTCAGGCTGAGCCCCAAGGACCACGTGTCTCGAGGAGTTCGTGCTGTTAGGGAGCATCTCTCTGTTTGCTGCCCCTGTGGTCAGCACACCCCTCCTAATCTAGGAGCTGTATGGAAACTCTAAGGGGTTTCCAGCCCCTCGCTGGGCACTGTTATTGGCACTCACAATAATAGTGCTTGATCTCTGTCAGGCGTTGCTGCTGGAGCAGATTAGTGACTCGTGGATTGTTGGTAACGTCCACCATCCTTAGACAGAATTTGGGGTGTAGACTGTGAGTAAAATTAGGTTGGGATGTTTTTGCTAGTGGCTTTGATGTAGAAAATCTTAAGGAACAATTTGAAGTTCAGAAGGCACAATCTTAATAGCTGAGCTAGGGATTTGTGTTTGTTTGTTTGCTTTGGGTTGGGTTTGGTTTGGTTTTGGTTTTTCAAATCAGGGTTTCTCTGTGTAGCCTTGGCTGTCCTGGACGTGCTTTGTAGACCAGGCTGGCCTCTAACTCACAGAGATCCACCTGCCTCAGCCTCCTTGACTGCTCGGATTACAGGTGTGCGCCACGGAACCCTGCTGAGCTAGGGGGTTTTGAGGTCAGGGAACAAGAGCAATGGCAGCCTGCCAGGTAGTGGCTGGTGATCAAAGTGATGATGAAGTCCTGGGACCTATTTTTGTCCTCAGCTCCCTGATGCGATTTAATAAAAAAATTGTAAATGAGTAGATGTGCAGCCTGAGGATTTAAAGTAGAAATGACTGATTGTTTTTATCTAAAAGTTCAGGTTTGTGATTCATTTAAGATTTTACAAGATTACTGTTAAGATATATAATAAAATAATTGATCCTTTCCTTGTAACCACAAATTGCAGACGGCCAGTTAAGAGAAACTGGCTGAGAAAATTATCTTGCTTGCTTACACTTTGTTAATCAATAACAAGTTGCTTAGTTACAAATGTATGTGAGTTCTTGGGAATAATTTGTTTTTCTCCCATAATATGTTAAAACATCTGATCATGTGAGGGTATTGTAAAACATTCTTTTGGGTTTCTTTTTGTTTGTTTGTTTGTTTTTAAAAGATATATTCATTGTAATCACTCACTTAAAGAAAAATCAAATGAGCCAGACAGAGGCAGGTGTATCTCTGTGAGTTCCAGGGCAGCCTGGTCTACAAAGAGAGACCAGGACAGCCAAGGCTACACAGAGAAACCCTGTCTTGAGAAACAAAAAGAAAGTAAGACAGAAAGAAAATTAAAAAGAAAAACAGAGTGTGAGCACATTATGATTTTGCTGGAAGGATTTTGCTGGAATATAAAAGCCATGGAAGAAAAAATAAAGTTGTTGGAGGTTGCTTTATCCACTGCATGTGTGGTTTCCCCCGGCCCAGCGAGTTTTTCACTGGCCCCAGACAGTCAAGTTTTGTTCCCTCAGAGAAAGGTCTGCTGAGTGATCAGCCTCCAACTCCACACCCCACCTCAGTTTACCTGTTGTGTATCAGAGCTGGCTTCCAACACTACATCACCAGCGCCTCGGTTTCTCTCATAAGCAAGAATAGTAATAGCTAGTTCCTCAGGCAGAGGGAAAGACACTCCAAAAAAACAAAAACAAAAACCACTGAGTGTTGGAAAAGGGGAAAGCGTCCTAAGTTAACTATTATATTACTGTTCTTAATTTCCCTGTAATGTTTTGCTTTTATTACTAAGTTGATAGCCGAGGAACCAGTGAACAGAACGCCCACTGCCACTCCGACCTCCTGACCGTGACAGAGACTTTTCTGCTTAGCCTGGGAGTGCAAAGGTTATCAGGGAGACCCTGAAGCCACCGGATGCTGCTCGGAGCAGGACCTAGCCTGGCTTTGGCAACACTAAGATGCCCATTCTT